TTATACAAGTGTTCTCTTATGAGTCAGCAGGCTGTTTTCATTGTTAACTAGGGAGAAATAAAGAGTTACTGTAGCGCCCTCTCTCGGCAGCAGGAGGTATTGGAGCAGTATTGCAGCGAGAACACGGTGTCCACACACCCCACCCTTACTGCTGCAGCATCAGTATGAAACATGTGGCATGTGAAAGCACGAAGCAGCTCGGTTTTCTTGTGTAAAGTTCATTATATAAAATTTATTCTCAATTACAATATCAATGCAAATATAGCACTACAGTGATTTCCAAGGTACACCGTATCTTACCATATCATCAATAGTATGGCACTCGTATAATGGCCACTGTTTCAGAAGACACACAAAACCAACAGCCTCTGTAAACTATTCTGGAACATGATAGCCTACCATGGGGTTTCGTATCAGTCTGTGAAAAGGGGCCATAGTGAGGTGATTACTTTTGAAATCAAATTTTGGGCACAATATCACTGGAACATTTCAGTGTAAGGAATCTCTGCATGCATTGCACTTCCCCATTTCCTTCAACCTGACTTGTGTTTGATTGAAAATGGACTTCGTAAGCTTAATATAAAATAAATAAAAAAATCTCAAACACGAGCAGGTGGGGCTAAAACAAAAGGCCAAGCAGTGACTTTCAAATATTTCAACTTGTTTTTTTTACCATTTCCTGTACAGTTTGGTACTCACTATTGTAAAACAACAACCAAGAGACATTCAGGCGCCTTAATACTATAACAGGAGAGCTGACTCTTCAAGGTACAAACTTCATTTCACGTGGCTTTCAGGGGAAAAAAAAAGGAAACATTAAGCACTATATTAATAAAGTTTGACATGGTAACACTGTATTTGAATGTACAACACCGGTATTTAAGATAGCAGCAAAGTATTAAAAAATATTAAGACTGAAAGCTGTTGAAATCTGTACAGAAACAAAAGTGAATGTAGAAAAAAGGGCTTGAATCAACAACAGAGCTTAAAGGGAACCTTGCATAAATCTGTATAAACTGTTGGCCTGTACCTTTCATATATATTTTTTTAGGAGGGCTCATTGTTTATTCGTAGATCTATAAGTAATGCATGGACTGACTGCAGCAGATCAACTACTTTTAGAAAAAGAAGAAGAAAAAATAAACAAGTGAACAAAGTTTTGTTTATACAGTCTATGCTACATAATACGTATGTATTGAATACGAGTACAACATTTTCAGTACAGTTGTACATATCTATTTACAGTGCGTCAGGGTTTGATTTCTCCTATTTTGTGCAGATTGTTCCAGCATTCTGTTTGAGGTGATCGAGACTCACAGTCTTTATCAGTTGCACTGTATTGCACAGTCTGTGTTGATGGGTGTCAGTGCTGGGTTTATTGGTGGAACCGGTAGTGATGTGCAACTGTAGAGAAGCATGAGCGATGATGTTTTTTTTTTGTACTAATCTGCATCTATTAGGCTGGACTGCACCAGATGTGCCACCGTTTCCTACGATAATCCCTCCCTGGCAACATATTTTCTACAACCACACATTAACCTAATGAAGATTTGCTGTTTGTTAACGTCTGACAGATTTACCTCTACACATGTTTTTTTTTTCTTATTTTTCTTTACAGCACTGTATGTCTATTGTGACATGCAGAAAATGACACAGTAAATATGACTTGTTCAAGTCTTAGATATGTATGTTAGGCTATCTGACACAAGTTTTAAATATGTTGCTCGAGCTTTGGGAGCATATTGCTGTAAAATTGCAGAAACTTCAAGAAAGTAAATAGTTTTTTTTGTACATTACAAATATGCAAACAGATACAGTAGGTAGCTTTTTTTTAACTTCTCAGTGATGATTATTTGCATCTACGATGACAATCTATTGATACCAAGACATCTCGTATACATTCACGATTTCAAGAAACACTTCGAGAGCTGATCTATGAGTCTTGCCTTTTCTCCCGCACAGTCTTCTGTGCTTGTCGGATTACGGTGAGCTGGAGAAAACACACGGTTCCTGTTTTTGCGTCTCAAGTAGTCAGGAGGATATTTGGCAACACCAATCTCAGAAAAAAAAAAAAAGACCCACTCATTATTACTTTGTGTCTGTCTTCTTTTGTAGCAATAACACTGGTGTTTTTGTGGCAAAAAAAAAAAAAAAGATCATTGGCAATTAGAACACATCAGTATATTACATAGTACAGAGAAAATACAAATCAGCTGGGTAAGAAATTGAAACGTTTTCTACACCACTCCATCAACCTTTGTCTTGTTTTAGGTTTTCACAAACAAGTTCGAGGTCTCCAGTGACCATTCTGATCAGTCTCAAACACAACGACAGCAGTTTCTTCTTCTTCATCCATGGTTATCTCCATAAAACATCATCTCCATCTTACTCTTCTTTATTCCACTTTAGTCTGGTCATAAGGGTCTGGGCCTTCACCTCAGATAGCTGTGTCCCACACGACGGCCTGCGGCCTCTGACAAGGTGGGGTGCCAGAATTTCGAGGCTCAGGTGTCCGTCTCCAGCTTGGGAGGATGGGCATGCTGTCCTGTTTGCACAGGCTTTTGTCAGGCCGCCTGTGAGCCTTGATCTCTTTGCACAGGCAGCGCTTGCGCTCGATGACCTCCAGCAGCTTGCCATCTCTCTGGGTCTGGGCGGCGGTGGCACCCCCGCCAGCAGGGGGCTGCCCCTGTGCCAGCTGGGCCAGCTGTTGGAACTGCAGCTGTAGGTGGTGCTGCTGCTGAAGCTGCTGGAGCTGCTGCTTTAACTGCAGCTGCTGCTGGTGGAGCTGAAGCTGCTGCTGCTGCCGAGACACGCTGGGAGCGCTGGGACTGCAGGGGGCTTGGGTTGGCCCCAGACCTTGCAGCTGTGCGTAGGAAGAAAAAAAAAAGACGGGTTGGCAAATGAACGTTGCAGCACATGCATTTTTAAACCCCTATCAGCATGACAGTAACACTCTGCACACAATGAGGAAAACATCCCTTCCTGAAGAATGCCACCAGGATGCAGTGTTGCTGCACTGGTTCTAGTTAGAGGGAGGGTCAATCAGACGAATGCAGACAGTCTCTGCAGCACACAAACTGCGTCAGCATTCGCAATGAAGCCAGAAACTAGACCGACTTTTGTGCTAGAGGACAGCAATTCCCCCTTCTGACTGCTGTTCTGCATATTCTCCTATCAACACCTCTACCTTATTTACTGTCTGCATATTAACCAACGACTCACATCTTCTTTTCCCTCTCAGACAGGCCAGAACCTTATTCTGCTCAGTGGGCATAACGACCAGCTATAAATAGACCAGGAGCAGCAGCATCTCCAGCAGAAGGAGGAAGTCGTAACAAAAAACAATATTGATGCTCGCTTCAAATTACACTGTGTTTAAAGTTAATAGTGTTTGCAGTGATGAAGCCACATGTGATATATTTACCTGATTCAGGGCTTCTCGTGCTGGTAGACTGCTCTGTCTCTGGACGTCTCCTACACCCACCTGTCTCACTCCAGCAGCAGAGGAGGAGCGGCCCAGCCGCCCCACTTCTGTGAGGAAACAAACGTCACAAAGTGTTCCTGCTGATCAGAGCCGAGGAATATAAAACAGAGCAGCAATGCAGCTGTGAAGTAAGACAGTCCCTGTGGGCTTTGAGTCCTTGTTAAATTTTATGGTACATTCAACTCCTATAAATGATTTATAATGCATCTCAAAACAATAAAACCACTATTTATTAATTAGCCTACTAATTATCCCTTCTGAACTAATGATAGTACAGTGTGAACTTTTCGGCTTTAATGGACAAAAATAAACTTAAAGAAATGACATAAATTAGAAGAGGAAAAAAGAAATGTGAATAAGATCTCCTGATGCATGCTCAATAATCCAGGTAGAAAAATCTAAAAAAGTTAAATCTGGTCCTCTGGACATTCAAAAAAACCAAAAACAAAGCAAATCAACAAAAAAAATATAGAAACGTTTTGTCTCTCATCCGAGAGACTTCCTCAGTCTGAGGTGCTGTTTTCAGCTCAGTCTCTTAAATAGCACCTTCTCAGAGTGGATCAACCAGTTTGCTGCTGACAACCAAAACCAGCTGATCATATGCTCAAGAAGGACCATCAGCCTAACAATGGGTCATTAGCACACTGATGGCTGTGAATAAGATCCCTTTTTCTAGAGTTGTTATGGATTTACGTTTGATTTAAAATCCAACATTAAAATAAAATTGCCCTCCAAGTTACAGTGATGCTACATCTGAGCCAGGAGAGAAATCTCATTGAAAATCTGTGAGATGTTTTTGAACAGTGACTTGAAGCTGACTGCACTGTTGCAGTCAGGAGGGGGGTTGCTTACCTCCGTTGCGACAGGCAGGAAAGGTCTGGCATGGAAGAGGCAACCCTGCTCTGGGCAGAGCTCTGAATCCAACACTGCTGTCCACACCTGCCAAGGCCTCGCTGTGACCCAGGGCCCTGCTGGAGGCGCCACTGAAGTGAACCGGGATGCTCGAGTGACCTCCTCGAGAGCAAATCCCGAGGTCCTCCTTGTCCATCCTCAGCAGAGCGTCGACACTGCCGTTCCAGGATCGTCCTTCATCTTCTGAGGCAGGAAAGAGAAGCACAAGACACATTTATCTTAAAATAAAATGCTTTTAAAACCTACTTTAAATATATTTGTTGTAATTATAATTGCTTAATTCTTTAGATTGAATGAACTTACTCTCTGTGTCTCTGCTCCCATGGCTGAAGGAGAGTTTCCTCTGCATGGGCCAGTAAGACCCCTCATCTGCACCCAAACTGCCACTGCTGTCCCAGGGCATGAACCCAACTTTTGACTGTGACAAGGCCCCTCCGCTGCTCTTGGACATCCCTTCACCCACACCAGTGAGACTCAAAGGCTGTTGCAGAGATGGTGTTTGAGAGCTGCCTCTCAGGCTTTCGTATGCCGGGGGCCTCCGGAAGCCCCCAGACGGGTAGGTCCAGAGCAGAGGGCTGTCTGAGGAGGGAGGCTTGTAGGCTGGCAGGCCGTGGGGAGTGTGAGAGCGGAGATGTGGGCGGGAATGAGGGCGCTGGGATGAGGACAGTGGCGTAGGGGTTGAGCTGGTACTGCTTTGAGACATTTGGCTGCTCGATGTGGTCGTGCTGTCAATCGGTAAAGAGTGTGGCCCTCCATCCCGATCTCGCTCTCGCTCTCTTTCTCTTTCTCGTTCTCTGTCCTTATCTCTGTCTCTATCCTTGTCCTTCTCTTTGTCTCTGTCTCGCTCCTTGTCCTTGTCTCTAGTCCTGTCCCTCTCCCTGTCTCGATCCCTGTCCTTGTCTTTATCCCTCTCTCCTTTATCAGACTTAAGCAGGAAGCTGACAGACTTGCCCTCCTTGCCTGAGCTCGAGGTCTGGGTCTGGGCTGTGGCCTGGCAGGACGTCTGGGAGTTGCTCTTGATTGGGGCGGGGGAGTCCCCTCTGTCCGGCTTGCGATAGTGGTGATAGTGCGAAGGACGATGGTGAGGATGGTGATGGTGATGGGAAAAAGGGGAGGTGGATTTGGAGGAGGGAGGTAGAGGTGTGGAGTGACTCCTGGCTCTTAGTCCAGGAGCGGGGCCTAACTGGGCATCTCTGCTGTGTTTGTCCTGCTGGCTGGAACTTCCTCCAGAGGACTCCTTGGACCCTGACGAGAGAACATTAGACGAAGCTGACGAGGAGGAGGTGGAAGTGGTGGCTTGAGTTGCTGTGCTGGACGTTTGAGTTTTAGCAGAAGAAGAAGTCTTGTTCTGCACCCCGACCCCACTGGAGGCAGCTGCAGGCTGAGGAAAGGCAAGCAGCGGGGGCCGGTGCTGCAGAAGGTTGGGGAAGGGGGCTGGGATCTTCGTGCTCGACTCCCCCTCACATTTACTCCCCTGGAGCAGATAAGGAGTTGGAGCTCGTGGGGTGTGGGGACTGGTGGAGAGGACCTGTGGTACTGGCGTTGAGGAGGCAGAGGAAGGCAGAGGAGATGAGTGGGAGATGGAGACTGTAGCTTTAGGTTTGGAGTAAGAAGGAGAAGAAGAGGAGGGGCGCGGCAAAGAGGAGGAACTGCTGGAGGAGGAAGGAGTAACATGGTAGTGTTTAGAGCCTTTCAGTTTCTCATGTTTAGGAGGGAGATGTCTGTGGGACTCTCTGTCCTCCTGATGTGGGTATTTCATTTCCTCATAGATCGCCTCACTCTGGTCTGAGTCAGAGTCCGGCGTGGTGGCTACGGGGGTGACTGGATGGGGGGTGGCTGTCTGGCTCTCTCTGGTGAACACTTGGCCCACCATTTCTATGTAGACCGGCTCATCCTCCCCATCTCCTACCTGGATCTGAGAGTCTGCAGCTTGGAATGGCATGGATGTGGCAGGAGGAGGCACACGTGGAGGAAGAGAGTCAAAGGTGAGCTGGGTGCTGGGACTTCGTTTGGGCTTTAAAGGAGGCACCTTCTTTGCTCCGATCTCCCCAGAGTCGGACTTCTTCATGGCTGGGAGAGACATGAAGACATGGCAAGAAAACAGGCAATTACTTCTGGAGAGAAAACATCTGAAAACACTAACTCAGATTTTTAGAGGTGAGGTTCTGAGGAAAGCAATGGTGGACCCTCAGGGCCTTCTACGCTTTCAGAGAAGGCCTGACATATGAAATGTTACATTGACATTTTTTTTGTTAATATTTTTTGCATATAAAATAAAAAATAAATAAATGTAGTTTCTTATGCTTTGCCAATTTTCTTTATTTTCTATAAACTACTTTGCAGTTGAGTAAAAAATATTTTAATTCATGAAAATTCAGTTATGCAGTCGTGTCCTTTTAACTTTGTCTCCAGATAAATAAATAAAAACACGTTTCAAGGTTCTTTCTCGTTGGTTAGGACTTCACTGTCAGCAGAGAAGGCTGAGCTCAGTCAGAGACTTTGAAGGATGAGTTTATTTAATAAAATCATATTTATGGTGTACAGTGGGTGAGTCCAAAACATGGGGCACTGTGCCTTTATGAAGGCCTTGCAATTTTTTTCTCTTTTTGACTATGTGAAGACTTGTGCTGTATTCTATTGCAACCTATAAATTCAAAAATCCACACAGAGATTGTAGTTGCTCTGGAAATTGCTTGTTGTACTTCAATGTAAGAGACTGGTTGAGCAACAGGGCCTTCTGGGAAATCTTGGGCCAGAAAGAGTTGGACTTTTTTAGGTTATGTGTCCAGATAGGTTGTCCCTGGTGGGGTTTTTTTTTTTGTTCAGTGCCGATATTTATGTTTAGTTTGTTGTTAGTGGATGTAATATAAACGACATCATAAGTCAAATGCTGTATCTGGTGTATAAAAAGGAGGAAAGAACTTTGTGTTCAGCAAGTTACTAAACTGCGAAACTGAGAGTATAGTGCTGTCATCGTATTGTGACTCTGTAGAGTTGCTGACGTTAGTATTTAGTAGGACAGGGGTTCCCAGACCTGGTCCTTGGGGAACACCATCCTGCATGTTTTAGTTGTTTCTCTACCCCGACACACCTGATTTTAATTTATGGGTGATTAGCAGGCTTCTGCAGAACACGAGGAAGTAATTAAATCACTGAATCAGGTGTGTTAGAGCAGGGAAACAACTAAAACATGCAGGATGGTGTTCCTCAAGCACCAGGGTTGGGAACCACTACAGTAAGATGTTACAAAGTTACATCCTAACTGAGGGCCTAGCTCTTTAAAAAAAGTTAATTCTAACTGAATCAACAACGTTGTTGAACTGAACGTGGTGTAAAAGTTTATCAATGAAAAGGAATGCCTATCATTAACCACCATGCTGAGGTTTTAGACTAAGATCACATTTGTTTATGAAAAAGTGATAGTTATAAGCGCTTTGGTCAAAACTCAAAAATAATGTTATGTGCAATTTGGTGCAATCTGTTTGGACTCAAAGTAAATGTTGTAAACACAGCCAGCTATGACCAAACCAGATGTTTGCTAAATATCTGTAAAACCGACTGAGCTATTTTTGTGGTGGCTAAAGTGTGGTGGCCATCTTGAATCTGTCATGGTTGATAGTGTTTGCACAAACCATGATGCCTTTTTGGGACTTTGAGTCATCATATTTAAGATCAAATGACCTCACTTTGACTAGCTGGTTAGAATTAAACTCTACGTCTTCAAACTGGACCCACAACAGGGTATTGTTCATAACCTTTCCAGAGAACCCCACTTCAACAGATCTGAAGTATTCCTTCACAAGATGATTTTTTACCATTTTTCTTCTCTGAGTGCTTGCTCTGCGAGTGAGTGGTTGGAGGGGGCGTCGGGGTCTCAGGAGGTGCCCTGTTGTCAGCTGATGAGGAGCTGAGGCGAGTGCTTGGATGACGCTTGGGTTTGGCTGGGGGGCAGCGGCCACCATGCTGGGACTGAGTGTCAGAGTAATCTCCGTTCTCGAGGCTGGCGTCCCCCGCGCCGACAGCGTGGCAGGACTGCGAGCGTGGCGCCATGGCCGAGGCACACGTGTGAGGAGACAGGTCCTGGGAGGCGGGCATCGTCATGAAACCCATGCGGAAGTGCCGTCGGAACGAAGCCAGGTCTCTGACTTTCCCAACTGTGGCTGAGGGGTCGTTCTGGGTGGAACTGCAGATAAGAGAGAAGGAGATGGAAAAAAATCACAAAGAAAGTCAGAAACGTTCTCATACTACCTTTTTTACTGACCTCATTTTGTTGTCTATTTTCTGTTTAATCTTTAAAAAAATTCTCTTTGCATTGAAGAATTGCCTGCAGGGCTTCTGCTGCAAAAGACAAGTATTTGCTTTCACAAACCATTCCTTCTGCTTACACCGCAAACCTACTGAATTAGGAAATCAATTCCCTTGTCTGGAGAAAAGTCGAAGTTTGCACTGCTGGAATCCCCCGCCTTCCTTTTTTATACATGTTTACATCTACAGCACATATCAGTAGTCTGTAATTCAAGACTGTCAGAAGCATTTCATCTGTTACCATGGGAACAGTTGTGGGTTTTCCGCTATTTGATACCGAGTCTTTGAAATAATCAATGACACAGACTCAAACAACAAGAAGTAAATGTGACAGTGAGAATAAATCAAACAAAACGCTGCAGTTCTAATATCATACTGAGCAGCAGCTGGGACCGCTTTCTTTCCTCGTCTTTAGAAGTTTTAAGGGCTTTATGTATCAGGACATAATAAAAATCATCTGATCTGTACCAGATTCAAAACAGTTTATATTTACCATCAAGTGTGCACAAAAAAACCCTCATTCTATTGTTTATTACACAAAAAGGAAGACAAAATAGTTCACACTTTATGCTACTGGATTTAAGAGGCTCGTTGGCAGTAAAGTGCTGGTCAAATATACTTCATGAACGTCAGTGTGGCCACCTCTATATTAGCAGGAGTTTTGTCAGTTTGCTGCATGTATGCATGTGTCTGTTAACACAATGTCAAGATGGAAAGGCATCAGCAATGACCTTAGAGATGCCTGGGAAGGGTTACAAGTCAATTCCACACAATTCAATGTCCATCATTCTACAGGGAGAAAGATTTTTCTCAAGTGGACAACATTTAGGACAGCTGTTAATCTCCAAAGGAGTAAACGTTTCGAGAAATTCACCCCACGGTCAGACTGTGCAATGCTCAGAGAAATTGCAATAAAAAAAAAAAAAAAATCTAAAAGATGCATGTCAGACTCTAGAGGCCTCAGTTAGCATGTAAAGGTTAAAGTTCATGACAGGACAAACAGAAAATGACTGACATGGTTTGACTTGTTTCAGAGAGTTGTCAGGAGAAAGGCTCTCCTCTATAAAGAAGTTGGATTAGGTTTGCAAAGCTGCATCTGAATGAACCACGGGACTTCTGGAAACATGTTCTTTGGACAAATGAGACTAAAGTAGAGATGTTTATGATGCACTGCACCATACTTGGTGAAAACCAAACGCAATATATCAGCACAAACACCTCATGCCAGCTGTCAAACATGGAGGTGGAGGGGTGGTGGTTTGGGCTATTTGCAGTCACTGAGTCAACCACGATTTCCTCTGTAGACCAACGAACTCTAGAGGCAAATGTGAGCCTATTTTTCTTGGATGAAAGTGAGTCATGAAACAAGACTGTGATCCCCAACACAGCAGCTAGTCCACAACAAAATGGCTAAAAAAATAAAAGAATCGAGGTGTTGCAATAGTCTGGTCAAAGTCCACCTCAGCCTGATTGAAATGCGGTGGTGGGACCTTAAAGGAGCTGCGAGAAAACAAATGACTGTAAACCTCAAGGAATTGAAGCAACATTGTAAAGAAGAGTGGGACAAAATTAATCTACAACCATGTAAGAAATTAACGTCATTCAGGAAACAACTACTTATTGCTGTCGTGGTTCTACAAGCTACTAAACTATGGATTGTACTTTTTTTAAACACACATCTTTTCCATTTTGGATTCATTTTTGTTTAATAAATAACAACATGGTAATATCTGCTTTGCATTTTGTACACTTGAGGTTAGATTGGAATGATTTTAGACAGTAAAGGCCAGATAATTTTTAGGAAAATCTAAAATGTAAAACCGCTGACTCGATGAAGGGTGTGTCTGTTCCCCATGACTGAATGTAAACTAAAATTTTAATTGTTCTTGAAGTGACACAGCGGGATGCACACTTTTAGGTTAAGATGCTATACAGTAGTCCCTCGCTACTTCGCTGTTCGATTTTCATGGACTCGCTCCATCGCAATTTGTTTAAGTATTGTACAGTACTCTACATGTACATGATATTTTCCACACAGCAAAAAGTGGCACCATTTTGTAGTTTTCTTTCATTAAGCCTTCACGGTTTTGCCAGTCTAAAGAACTACATTACCCAGAAGCCATCAGTTCACTTCCCAGAAGTCAACACTGCTCTTCCAACTGTTGCTTGCTGCAAATGGAGGGAAAGTCACAAGTTCTGTATGGATAAGCTCACAGAACTGGCAGGAAAGTCACAAATAATTCTGAAGCTGAACTCATCCTTCAAGTTGTATCTTCACTGCTGAGTAGCTGTGCTGCAGGTGATCTGGACTCAGTGTGACCCGGATCCTGGGAGCTGCAGATGACAGAAGACTGCAGGGTTAAGTCTGGTTCTGGTCGCGCTGTACTGGTCCAGACTGGGCCAGAGGTGGTGGGTTAAATCCTGGGCAGCAGCACGTGTACATCAAGCTGGATAGAGTGGTGGGCTTCAATCATGCTGTACTGGGACTTTTTTCATCTATCGGGTCGGACCGGAACCGAGCCGCTCCTGTACTGCAGAGCCTGGTAAGTAATATTTTGTAGCTCCTGTACATATAAGTACTGCATGTTGTTAAAATTGGTAGGTTTAAGAGTTTAGAGGACTGATTGTGGGCTTCATCGCTGATAGGTCTGCGGAGACTAAACAAATTGGAATAAAACAGAGTTGGACCGGAACCAGAGCTGTTGCTGTTCTGCAGAGCTAGTAAGTAAAATTTAGTAACATATGTTGTTAAAATGATGTATGTTTAAGAGTTTAGAACATTCCAAGAGTGTGGGAAGGGTTTCTAAAGCCTTAATATAAAGTTTACTGTACTTGAACTTGAAGTGTATCCCTACTTAGCGGTTTTTCACATATCGCGGGGCTTCAGGGTACGGATCCCCCGCGATAAACGATGGACTACTGTACTAAAATATCTACACAGCAAGTTGTTAAAACAATCAAAACAACTCATTTGAAAATATGTTTACATATTCATTCTAAAGGTGTTGTGTTCAGACGCAACATCCCTATATTTAGCACCATTCTTATTATAAATGGTAAGGCTAAAATTCAAATGAGAAAAATATGATTTCCTGGGAATGTTCACTGTGATTTTAGCTGAAATCTGCTAAAGAAGTTGAAACCAGGTTGAAAAGATTTCATGTAACTGTTCATGCGAGTTGAATTTGAACAGCTGACATTTAATGAAAACAGGAAAATAAAAATCCGAAAGCAGCAGAAAAATGGTAGAAGTGTGTAGAAAAAGCTGAATAGAGCAGAAATGAGCAGAATAAGCTGACTGAATGGAGAGAGAGAGGCTGAACAGGTGACAAAAAAAAATCAAAAATTAATAAAAAGAAACTGAAAACCATCCTTCCATTATCTTTACCCGCTTGTTCTTTTTCCAGTCGCAGGGGTCATTGTTGCCCAGCAGTTACTATGTGAGAGGCAGGGGACACCCTGGACAGTTCTCCAGTCCATCACAGGGACACATAGAGACAAACGAGACAAACAACCATTCACTCTCTCTCTCACACACCTAGGGACAATTAATAGTTACCAATCAGCCTAACATGCATGTTTTTATTCTGTGGGAGGAAACCGGAGTGAAAGCCCACGCATGCACGGAGAGAACATGCAAACTGTATTCAGAAAGGTCCCCGGCTGGGATTTGATCCGGCAACCTTCTTACTGAGAGGCAATAGCTCTACCAACTGAGCCACCGTGCTGCCCAAAACTGAAACTGGTTAAAAAAATTAAATAAACAGTTAACTGAAAAGGCTGACAAAGCTGAAATTAGCAGAAAGACACTGAAAGAAGCTGAAATTAGCGCAAAGGAGCTAAAAGTACTGAACCTGAAGAAAAGCTGAAATGAACCGTGAAATGTTTTAAACAGCACAAAGGGTTTGAAGTATGTGGAGAGAGCTCCATTTGTTTTCGGTGAGGAAAACATGGCCGACAAAGATAAATATTAAAAAAAAGTACAAACTGCACACAAACCAAAAGTCCCAGCAGGAATGTCCTGAATGAGCAGAACCATTTTGATTTATGAATTGTTGAAATAGAACAAAAGTTGCCACATGAGTTCTCAAGTCCTGAAAAACTCATCTCAATAATGTGAAAGTTTTATAAACAGTAAGAATATTGGGTCTATTATTCAAACAGCTGGCACAAAACTGAGGTTTAGCCTTTTTAGAACAACTTATAGTTTGTAAAACAGGTGCTGCGGTTGAATTGCTGTGAAGTTTCAGTGTGCCAGAGTGAAACTCATCACTCAGAGGTTTCTAATGTTTGTCTCCAAAGAAATTCACCAGGGGCACATGTGGATATTCAGATCTGTGTCAACACGTCTAAGAAAGCAATAAACAGTTTCTGAGTGTGTAATTATGAAGCAGATTCAAGTAATTTCCCACAGTATGTAACAACAGCACACGACAGATCATCCAGCGTACTCTTGGATCAGTTTTGATCCCTGTGAGACTCTCGGGCCCAGAAGAAGACAACTGGAGCTTATAATTTGTATTCAGCTTCACACGCAGCAGCAGAAGGGAGCTCAGAGCCGAGAACACCAAGGCTCTTATTTCCTCCTCGTTGCGTGCGAGGTGGCGTGCGCACGTGTTCTAATCTGCGTGGCGAAGCAACAGAGTTCATTTGCATCTCCACGAGCATGTTTGTGCCCTTGAATGCCTGTGGAGATGTTCTAGTGACTCCTTACAATTGACATAGATACAAGAGGGCCAAATTTAGCACAGGACAGAGGCTGAGCATCTTCGTGCAGCTTGAAGAGCTTCTTTTCTCCTCCCTTGATTTCTACTAGAGGGCAGAATCTCTCATGAAACCAAAGACGGCTGTTCAAAGAGTAGCATGCCCTCACCTTTTTATTTGCCCTCTCTGTCTAAGGGCTTACGACGATAATCTGCAGTAGCTAATGTGGAGATAAGTGAGAAAATCTATAGCACACTTATATCTGCTTAAATATAAACAGAGTTGGATTAGTTTAGTATAAAGACTGAAAATAAAGGGAGACTCTTAGCTTGGGTCCATCAGAGGGATTTGTCCTTTGGCTTCATAATGATGTCTTAACTTGTTTTAAATTAAAGACCATGAAATTCCTGAAGTAATGCTACTACCAGATCAAATTCTCACTCAATATCAGCAAAATTGTCTGAGACAAACAAGGTTGACGCCAATTGTTTGGGGTACAATTCCAAACAAAGATTTTCATAATCTGTTAGAGCTTAGACTGTGTGTTGGAGACCAGTCTCAAATGTTACCATGCAAATTTTTAGCTTAATATATGTCAAATTGAACGAGTTAGAGCTGGTTTATGTTGGCTAAAGCTGATAGGCTGCAGCAGCCGTCTTAGGTTAACTCCGTAAGTTAATCAGTTGAGATGACAGTTTCATTAAGATATGTCCACTGGTTCATGATATATTTTGCTAACAGACACACACACATAGACATAAACAAAAGCATTATAGCCCACCTTTCACAATGAGCAATAATAGACTAGAGCTTAATCTGTGAAAAAAATATGTGAAAAATGTTAAATCCAGTGAGAAAAGCTAAACTAGCCATTGTGCTGTTATGACACAATGCTTTTCTAGAACATTTTATAACTTTCAGCACACGCAAGTTACATATTTGTTAATAATAAATAAATTTAAAAAAGAGGAAATGCAGATGTCCACCTGTGCAGATTCAGAAATTACCCCCTGACTTTTATCTTCTCCTTAAAGTGACAGATATTCCCTAAAGTTTCTACATCTGCGATGAAATCTTTTTTTATTTATTTTTTAATGGAAATCCAGTTTAGATGATTCTCCCTGTAGAAGCTCATATCCTATTTTTAATTTTGGGGACAAAGTTGAAACATTTTTAAGCAAATGTTCTGGTTTGTAAAGAAATTAAGAACATCCAAGCTGGTTTTGGGGCACACATGAAATATTGGGTCATTTTTTTATGAACCTGCAGTTGTCCTCATTCTGTTGAACTTTTCTGACATATCTGACACAATCCATGGCACTTTAATTCAATGCCTTCAGTTATGGGTTGTCTCCAGTGAGGATTTGAGCCCATTTAATTATTTTTCTTCTCACCTTCTTGTGATCTAACCTTAAAAAGTTTTCTCTCTTAAAGCATGCTAGAGTTGTTTGTTAGCATGTGACTCTCAGTTGTAAATATGACCTCAGCTTTGGGGTTTTTATAGCCCACCACCATGAAAGGTGCGCACCAATGCAACTGCATGTGTCTGTGCTCATTTGTCTGTCTGTTAGCAAAATATCTCCTGAACCACTGTCTGGATTTTCATCAAACTCTTAAAAGGTTATCATTGCATGTACATGAAAAAACTGATTGGCTTTTGGAGTCAATCTGATTCAAGATGGATGCTACAGCTAATCCACCTTAGCAAACATAAAAATAATAATAACACAATCATTTTTACAGATATTGAACTAAAATTTCTTGTGACAACAGCTGAATGTCATCTCTGATACATATTTTAAGCACTAACAGATTGACGAGATCTTTATAGTCATGCGAGTCAGTGGAAGATATGGGCTTCATGAAGGAATGCTACCTTTTCATTTATGTGGCTATTACTTACTTTGTCTGATCATAAACTTGAGCTGGCAGCTGCAATAATATAAGTGAGCCAAGACAATGCTAATATTTGAAGCACAAATACCTCTCATATGTGGATCACATGCACAATAAATGAGAATATCTACAGTGTTCTTTTACAGCAAATGGCAGCATTCATCATATTCAGTACATGTACCACACTTGTATTATAAGTCTGCTGGAATTAATAAAGCCTCAGTTGATAACAAGGTTTTCTCCCACCAGTCCTCTCTACTGGGAAAAGTGTCTGTCTGTGTTAGCACCATAAGAAAGCGCTTCTATTTTTATTACTCATACTAGAACTCACCTTATAACCATTCTGCAGCTCCACGGTCATCTCTGCTTTATAATGGGATTTCTCTCCAGAGGCGCTAAAGATCTCATATGGGCCACAATTCCAGTCTACTCTTCAGATTGTTCTATTTGATGTCAAAAACCCATAAGGCTTCCTAAACCCTTGGTTTCTGCTTAGTTTTACTTCTGATTCTATCCCAGCTTTAATCATCACCAGTCATGTCCTGCTTCCTACTGTACCTCTGCTGCTCTGGCCCAATTCGACATCGTGTCCTACCATGATGGGGAGCATGAGAACCTCCAGTCAACACTGCGAGTCATGAGGAACTTGATGGGACTTCGAAACAAACAAAACTGTCACCTTTGATGTTCTTCCTCTCCTCCACAAAGATCAGACACAGAGAGCGGAGTTTGATGAAGTGTAGGTGACTCACATCTGAACGGTACATCTCCCTTCTGATGCTCAGATGAACAAGATGCATTCATCCACTGTGATGGTAACCCTTTTCCAAACAATACTGTCATGTGCAAACTGAGATGCGAGTGTGATGACAGTATGTTGGCAACACTCTCTGCTGGGTGCCTGGCTTAGCTTGTTAGTTGTCAGGGTTGTGTCTTTGTTACCATGTAATTGGATTATGCTTGACTCATAAGGAGTCACAAAAATATTTACAGTAATAAAAACATAACTTCCATGCTTATGATAAAATTACTTGCAAACATAACATAGTCTTGTGTTACAGTTATAGAACTACTTTTCATTTGTGCTGGAAAATCTCAGAAATTGGAGCTTATGGGATGATACAAAACAATATGATATAACATAATTCTACATGTCACAACAGAATACTATATGTACTGTATGATCCAATACAATATAATGCAATATGATGCAATACAATACATCACATTACAATTTGATGTATGTTATGAAACACCATGATACAATATAATATGATAGGATACAGTCTGTGAAAATAAGAAACTATGACATGACATGACGCGGCTTGGTGACACAGTGGTTACAGCTATTGCCTCTCAGCCAGAAGGTCATAGGATTGCCTCCCAGCCTGGGTGGAGTTTACATGCTCTCTCTGTGCAAGTGTGAGTTTTCTCCATGTATTTGGGGCAGCTGGGGCTGAGTGGTTAGAGCAGCCATCCGCCAATGGAAGAGTTGGGGGTTCAATTCCACCAGCAGCCACTTGTTGAAGTGTTCTGGGCAAGACACTGAACCCCTCATAGCTCCGATGTGCATCCCATCAGTGTAGGAATGTGATTTAAAAGCACAGAATAGTCTTTGCAGAATGATTTGTTCAATTAGCTTTGTAGAGATGTAGTAGAGTGCTGTATGTATTATATGTATTGTATCATAATTATTAATGTGTGGATGGGTAAATGAAGGCACAGGTTGTCTTGTAAGGCACTGTGTGTACCTTGATTAGATAGAAAGGTGCTTTATAAGTACAGTCCATTTTACCTTTTTTTTAACTTCAGTTTCCTCCCACAGACCAAAATCATGCTCGTCAGGTTATTTGGCAACTACTGGCGGTAACGATATGTCTTTTAAGTTTTGAACGTGTACAAATAAAGTTTTATTTGTCACTTCTCACCTCCTTAATAAACATTAAGTGATCTCGTTACACATTGCATGTGTAACTCAAAGACTAAATTACAAGTGTAATCAATTATCATCAGTTTTTGTGTGTTTTTAGTAGTTTTGGCCCAGTTTTGACTCACATGTAGCTCATCTCATTAAACAAACAGCAACCTTAGTGTGAACTGCTGCTATTAGTATTAGGCTTTTTAGTCAAACCCCTTTGACTTTATGAACTGTGCTTGGAATTAAGATTAGGAAATTAAACTCTTTCACACTGGTTGCCTAAGAGGTTTATTGTGCCGCCAAACTGAGCCCTACTGTAATCCCATATATGCGGCGCTCCTGTGAGCTGATCTACTCACCTCTTTTTACCTCCCTCTTGGTCTCTCTGCCTCCAGTCCAAACGGCTCTTGCGATACAGCAGGTTCATGTCGCTGCGGGATCTCGCCTCCTCGCAGCCTATCACAGCGCAGTGTAGCCGCTTGCTTCGCCTCTCTATGTCACGCAGGAAATGCTCGACTGCCACATCCTGGGCAGAGCCAGAGCTCATGGTACAGGAGAGGACTCAGGAAAAGCCGAGGTTTCTTGCCACAGGCAAGAAGTAACTCTGCTAAACAAGAAGAAACAAGAGCGGGCGTTTGAGCACATTCATCATTAAGAAGAACATGTTTAGCAGCTTCACGACCTCTATGATGTGGAAACAGTCCAAGTACACACAGTTCGCTGGCAAAACCTATAGTTTAAGCTGCTTGTATTGAACCACCCTGACATTACCCCAGCTGGAAGCCATCACAGCCAGGACACAGTGATGCATGATGATAAAAGTTGTTGTTTTGTTTACCCCAACTGCTCATATATTTATACTTTCATTATCCAGTTATGAATATTTGAGTAAGCATGGCAACTCAGCTGCAGAGCATGCTTGGCTGCAGGCCCCGGGATGGCCTATCTAAGCCCGTCCCGCTAAGCAGAAAGTAATGTGGTTTGTCATATGTAGCGCACACACAGCTTCCCGTTCACGCTCGCCCCACGAGAAGCCAGGCTTGTTGTGGGGCAGATATCGTCGAGCCCTAACCGTGCATTCATGTCGGAGAATGCGCAGCACAATTGGTTAAGAAAAGCGCAGCTGTCAGCTAATGCTGGTGTTTTTCCATCACAAATAGAAGCGGTTTGGATGCGTTCTGGCAGACGACGCTGGAGTATTACCTTGGGCTGTTGTGACATGGGTTTGTTGAGTTCTGCAGCATTTTTGGAGGCCAAATCAGACTCTGTTACCTAATGTGGACTTTATGTATGACAGCGTTCAGTAGAATATTAGATACACTAAATGTATTATCTCACAGAATGCAAAAAAAAAAAAAAAACATTTCTTGAAGAAATGCACCTACTGACTTTTGAACTAAGATAACTTTATGTAAAACAAAAAAGACAAATTGTATATATATTTTTTTTCTTCTTTCAGCTTTTCCCTCTTCAGGGTCTCCACAGCGAGTCATCCTCCTCCATCTCTGTCCTCTGCATCCTCTGTCCTCACGCCAACTACCTCCATGTCCTCTCTAACTGCATCCATATATCTCCTCTTTGTCTCTTTCCAGGCAGCTGCATTTCTAACATCCTTCTGCCATTATACCCACTGTCCCTCCTCTGGACATGTCCAAACCATCTTGTAATCAGTTTGGTCAAATCTTAATATTCAGAGATGCCAAGCTCGAAATAAGAGTTGTGAATTGGACTTTTCTCCACAAGTTAATCAGTTGCCCTGTGATGGACTGGAGACCTGTCCAGGGTGTCCCCCACCTCTCACACAGTGATGGCTGGACATGGGCACCATTGAGACCTATGACGTGAAAAAGAAGAAACGAGTAAAGATAATGGATGGATGGATAAAAGTTAATTAGTTGTAAATGTACACTCAATGATTACTGGTAATTCCTGAAAGTCCATCCAGAAGTGATTTCAACAACACTTGTAAATATTCTAAGTTTGACTATTCATATGCATTAAATATGAGTCTTAATATTGTTGTTTTATGTACAGTAAATGATGCAACATTCTGCACAATTGTTGCTGCTAAAGAGATTGCTGCCAAACTAAGTTTCTTTAGACCACCCTGTGCAATGACAACAAAGCTTTTTCTTTTACGTATCGGCTAATGCCAAAGTTTTAGGCAAAGATTTCGCACACTGAACATCACTGTTGGGAATAACTGTCAGCTACAACTACAGTAAACCAATTTTCAGCACAATATATGTAAAACTGGCAGACGCTTTAGCCAGTTTTGTGTTTGCTAAGTCAAGCTGGTTTTGGTGGACAACTTGACTTGGACTGACTCAAAAGTTAATCAGTTTTACATCTGATAATATTTTTTCTGATATTTGATTTGAAGTCATTCTGTGGTTCATGAGCTATTTGCAGACTGAGCTGACTGCAAATAGCTGCAGGCCAAATTTTAAACAAAGATCTTGTGTAGTTTATGTGTGCTCAAAATATGTAATTGGGACCAAACTCAGGGACCACCATGTGTAAAGACAAAGATAGGAGTGTAGCAGCGGGAGCAGCAGGCGCTGTCATGTGGGCCGGGCAACGTGCTGATCTCTGGAGCTGCATGTGATTCTTTTGTCGTGGCTCAGTGTGTCATCCAGCATGTCAGTGTGGCTTCTGCTATTCTTGTAGCTCACAGCCCTGACCACAACCTTGCCCGCTGCTGCTGCCATGCTCGCTGACTCCATGTTAATTAGGTTAGGGAGCTGCGGCTGGAGGTTGGGTTTTCGTTAAGTGTTGCTTTGATTCTGGTTTCTGGGATCTGCAAGCTGGGCAGTCCGCCCTACAATTGTTGCATTATGTTCTGTGGGCTCGTGTTACAATTAACCGGTCACATTGAACAAGAAGATGTACATCATTCTTCTGCAGGCAAGCTGGTCTTATCCAAACCCAATCATTCACAACATCCATGCTTTCAGTGCATTTCTTCAAAGAATGCTAGGCCTTTAATTTTGAGGAGAATCTGCAGGGTCAAGTGTCGCTTGAGTTCCTCATTAGGACCAGATGGAGCCATGATTCATGTCGCTCAATCTGCATGCAACACTGCAGACTACTCATTCACGAGCATAAGCAAACACACACCTACATAAAGCCCCCCCCCCCCCCCCCCCTACATGCTAAACACATGCACGCAGGGTGCAAAGACATCGTCTCGACTGCACAGCAACCGATGAACAGAATGTGGGTTACAGTTTGCAGGTAGAAGAAATTAAAAATCAACTGTCTGAAATGCTTCCATCTATCAGCATAGGTGAGTTTAACCCTGTGAGATGGCTCGGTGCTGCAGACCTCTGCCCTGCAGCCGACACCACAGCTGCACAGTGTGAGTGGGACAGTAACACTGCTGAGCGCAGGGACACGTCAACAACAGGGTCGAGAAAAAAGTCCACATTAAAGGCATCGCCCGGAGCCTTTTAAACTCTAATGATCATCTGATGAGGAGAAAACCGAGACATTTTGGTCAAACATTGTTCTGCACATTTTATAAGAGCTGGGTAAGTTTCTCAGCTATTACCGTAATTTACGGACTATAAGCCGCTACTTTTTTCATATGCTTTGAACTGGATTTTTTTTTTTTTTTGACGGGCTAACGAGCTTCATGCCGCCAAAACATTTAGCCTCATCACACCCGGGCACTCACATAGCTGCCCAATATACGTTTCTCTTGGGGGGTTGGGTCCTCGTGGCTCATTGAGACTACCTGTATAAATAAAGTTTTTTTTGTTTGTTTTTTTATCTGACCAATGAAATTACCAAACAGGACTAATGTATTTTTTTTTTTAACTAACCATGTAACAGATACTGTTCTAAAAATTAAACATTTACGGTACATATTTAAGTAAAAACAAAAAATCTTTCTCATGTTACAATGTAGACACCTGCGGCTTATAGACAAGTGCGGCCTATACATGCACACATTTTTTTTTTAATTGAGTGGGTGTGGCTTATATTCAGGTCCATCAAATGTTAGCTCATTGCATGTAAAAAGTTTTTAAGGGTCAGTCTGTGGCAGCCATCTTGACTCAGATTATATATGTGATAACTTTACGTAAGTTTAATCCGTAATCCGTTTAATTTGTTGACGCTAATGTTAATAAATTAAATAAATTAAGTAAAGATCCTGTGCAGTCTGTTAGCACTCAGAAAGTATGTTAGGGACAACTCTCCGCTACTATCACACCAAGTTTTATCTCAAGATCTGTTAAACGGCCTGGATCATAGCCCTTTTTGTGTTTGCCACGGTTGATTAGATGTAGCAGCCATCGTGAATAAGGTTGACTTTAAAAGTTAATCAGTTGTGGACGTGCATCCAGCCATTACTTTCTGAGAGTTTCATCAACATCCATTCAGTGGTTCATGATTTGTTTTACTAACAGACAAACTCTCACAGACATAAACAAAATAATTAACTATATTTTGCCTTTAGGCTGCATTTGATGATAAATAGCTAATTGGGCTTTATAAGCTCTTTGCAGACATCAACAAAAAATCAAACTTATCATTGAACATAATCCCAACATCATTCTTTGATGCATTTTTTGTGCATTCACGTGGTTTTCAGCTTTTTTATTTTTGCAAGCAAACCAATTAAATTTAAAAGGCATATTGAACAAAACATCTAGTACAAAAAAAAAAAAATTCTTCCTTCTTCTGCACAGAATGTCCTTTCAAAAAAGTTTGTCTTCTAACATTTAAATTATTTAACGATTGCTAAAGGGTGAGTTAAGAAAACAACTTTTCACAACATATCCAGTGTGCTGAGATTGATTTGGTCCCTCCCAGACATCCCAGTGGTTCCTGTTCAGCATCTCAACCTGCCAGTCACACGGGGCTGCAGTTCATCCGAAAGAGACAAACATAAAAGCAGAGACGAAGAGCGAAGAGGAGTGCAGGGATGAGAGGAGAACCAGCAGATTGAAGATACACACAGTCAGAGAGCAAGGAGGAAGGCAGCGGGAGGAGGGGAGGTGGATGGTGGAAAACAGAAATCCAACAAACAGAGTGAGAGATAAACCAGAGCAGAAGACAAATATAATCAGATGGAGGCAAATTTCTGGACAGGGAACATGGGAGTGAAAGGAAACTGATGAAAGTAGAGAGGATGGAGAAACACTGAAAGGCAGTCGGACTAGAAGAAAGGAGAGGAGGGATGTGAAATCAAGCCGCTCACTGCTCGTTGTGTGTGGTCTCCTAGCAACACTTTGAGCTTGCATCTCTTCCTCAGCCACTGAATATGCACAAAGCAGGACGTCAGCCTCGACATACGGGATGATCCTCAGGTTCAACTCTCCTTCAGGCTTCTTTGTGAATTGATCAATGCCTCACTAGATCCTAAAAACACGTTTCCATCATTGTGCCTCCAGGAGGTACATGAACCCCGTCTTATGCATCCAGGAAAATCTGACTAATACACTCAAATGAATAATATGTCACCTCTTCTGGACACTTTCAGATATCTCAACGTATAATTTTAAAGTCACTTAAATCTCTGATCTCACCTCGGCTGCAAACGTGGACAGAGGAATGAAACATGGCAGTTATTCAGCAGGTGGAGGCGTTAGAGCAGCA